ACAGGGAAGCAGAATATTAATTTTTCTTTACTGAAGACATCTCTAGACTTTTATCACCCCAGAGGTTAGCACCAGTGTAAACTGCAAAAACAGAACAGAAAACAAGATGAACAACAACAAAAAAGAACCTTAAAGTTCTTATTCATCAAGCCAAGTTTGAAAACAAATCAGGTGCCCTACAACTAATGAATGAATCAAGAAAATATGGTGTATATACACAAAGGAGTATTACTCAGCCATAAAGAATAATGACATGAGGTTTGAAGGTAAATAAATGGATGCAATTGGAGGACATGATGTTAAATGAAGTAAGCCAGGCTCAGAAACACAAAAGTCACATATTTTCTCTCATATGTGGAAGACAGATCCAAAGATAAACATACACAAAAACAAGCATGATCATATACAAACTTATATGTAGGACATGTTTGTAATAATGGAACTACTCTATGGAACTCGGGGAAAGAGAGAAAGGAAAAGAGAATGATAGAGCATCAGTAATATCACATAACATAAGATGTGAAGGAAGCAGATGTAAGGATGTGTATTGAAAGCTGTTGAAAAATGGGGGGTGGGAGGTAAAGGGTAAGGGAGAGCAATGGAAGGGGTTGAATGGACCAAAGTAAAGTACAACCACAGTGGGCATGCATTGAGACACCCCTTTAAACATCAACTTAAATATTAATAATAAAAAACAGGATTGTAAAATGGATAAGGTGTGTGTGTGTGCAGGGGACTAGTAAGATGAGGGAGGATGAATGGATGAGATTAAAGTGATGATATATGGTAGATGGACTTCATACACCTATATGAAACAGAATTAAGAAACCTCTTTAAATTCCTTTAAGTGGGGCCAGGAGGGAGCTGGAGGGAGAGTCAATGGGGCAATGTAACTAGTGTACAATGTAAGTCTAAACAGAATTGTCACTATTAATCCTCCCCTGTATAATGAATATACCCTAATGAAAATTTTATATAAAAATAAAAACAAATTTTAAAAAAACAATGAAAGAATGATACTAAGTCACCACAAAATAGACAGGCTTTGGATAGAGAAATTTTAAGGCAATTTTTAAAAAGCCCTGCAGAGAAGCAGAATATTAATTTTTCTTTGCTGAAGACAACTGTAGACTTTTACTGCCCCAGAGGTTAACACCAGTGTAAACTACAAAAAAGAAAACAAGGTTAACAAACAAAAACATGGAAACACCCCAACTTTCCTTCTTATTCCTTAAATAAGGAAAAAAATATCTCCACATGAAAGAAACCACCCTCCTATATCAGAGAATATTAAGATTCTTATACCAAAGACTGGGAGTCCATGCTGAGCAAATCTTTACAAACAACAAAAATTCTTAAAGTTAACAAAAAAAGCAATGACTACAAACTCATATATTAACTTTTTTAGAATTCTCCCTCTGATTTTGACTGCCTAACAGGCACATACCATAAATATAATTAACAGGAAAATAACTTGAACTGATGGCTCACTTTGTCTAATGTCATAGAATGTTCATAAGTAATTCAAGAATAATTGCTATGAACAACTATATAAGTGTGAAAAAGACAAAATGTTTCAGTGAATTTTCTACAATGATTATATTATGTATTATGTTTGATAGAAAGTTTTTCCACTTTTCATTCAGATCTTCTATAATATTGTATGAAAATAAGATAAATTGCTAACACAAATTATCTACACTTTTCAGTGTACTGATAATTGTTATCTGTACCACATTAAATAATTGCATTGTGACTCAGCACATGCCTCACACAATTATACACACCACAGCTATGAACTCAGAAAAGTATATGGAAATTATAAGGGAAAGGATGGCAACTCTGCCTTGGAAAAGTAAATCATGTTTCTGGTAAGTGAAGCTTTGGTGTAAGATCTGCTTTTGGTATGGACAAATGATAGTAATTATTGGCTAGAAGTAGAAATACTGATTGTTCCATAATAGAAGGAAAAAATCTTGATAGATATAAATTGAATACATTTATTTATAAGCTATTATTAAAACAGCCATTATTAATATGTAAAAGACAATGGAACAAAAGTAGATGATGTTTTAATCTCTGTTAAAATTGTGAAAATCTTTGAGTTTGTTCTTAAATATAAAATGTTCTCTTTATCTTTTAAGTAACTGGTGTAGTAAATAGATATTTTTGTGCTTCACCAAAATGCTTTCTTATGCTTCATGTTGTCTTTTGTGAGGTCCTTGAGCACTTACAAAAAGTAAGTCTTCTCAATATTAAAACACCCAATTTTTCACTCTGCAACTCCATAATGTTACAACAACTCCATACAGTGACACTTTGACATTGTTAAACAGTGAATTGTGATTTCATTTATCTAAATGTTTCAAATATTTTGGCATTCTTGAAACTTTCCAAAATCAAATTCTAAATTAAGAATTTTTTGGCTTAAACTAGCTTTGGGAATGTGCAGAGGACTTTTGGAATATCCCAGAAGAATTTATTCTCTCTCCTTATACATAGAGAAATATTAATTTAATTGATATTGTTTCATATGGTAAATTCACATAGGAAATAAATGATGCTGCGCCTTTACTGAATTATATCAATACATGTGATTAACATGTGTCAAAGGAGTTGTATGAAATATCTAAACAGCTAGTATGCCCTTGTATAATCTCATCACTCATAATTTGATGTTATATTAGATTTTTAGAAACCAAAGGCCATGAGAAAAAGATAGACCTCAAAATCATTTCTGAAAGTTTCCAAATTAACTACACATTAAATTCCATCATGCTGCCTCTTTTATGAAATTCACTCAGAATTTGATAAGGATTTTTGGAGGGTACAGGAAGGCTCAGAACTGAGGAATGATTAAGTAGAATAAAAAGAAAAGTGAGTTCATGGAAGAAGAGGTTACAATTATTTTCATATTTGAAAAAAAACTGGCTAGATTGTTTTGAAAATTTTAAAGATTATTCAGCCTGTTATTTCCTTACATTTGTTAAATATTCCCTATTTCTCTAAAATTACAACAGTATTAGTAAATATTTGGAAAGTATTTTTAAATCTCGTTTATCTTGTAAAATACAAGGATGCCTTGGAACAATGAAAGAGTTTTGCCTGGCATCGGGCTTGTGGATATAAGGCAGAGGCATGCGTGGAGCACCTATGTGAATAGGCCTGGGTGTTCTACATTGAGTCCATGGTCATGAAATTCCAGACTCTAACACTGGAAAGAAAGACAACAGTCAGAAAATGAATGCTGATAATTTTATTAGGCTACTTCAGACACTATTACGATTATATTGTTTCCATTGCATAGTTCTCTTCCTTTTTCTTTCTTTCTTTCTCTTTCTTTTTTTTTTGTGAGACAGGGTCTTCCTTTGTATCCTAGGCTGACCTGGAATTTTCTATTTTCATACTGGAGCCTCCCGAGTGTTGGATTTACAGAAGGACACCATGCCTGGCTCCAATGGCATAATTTCTGAAGGACATTATGTTGTCATCTGTTGTATAAAACAAACAAACAAGGATAGTTAGAGGGAAAATTTGATATGACTGTAGTAGCTGAGAGCCTGCCTTCTCTGATATTTCCCCTTCTCCTTCCCTTTTTCTTCCTGATATTGTTTTGCTCCCTCTTATTAGACACCTAGCATATAATATCCGTTAAACTGTTCCTTTATGACATGAAGAAATGAAAATATTCTTAAGATTGTTTATCTAATAAGTATTCCTGAAAATGATCAAGGATACATTTACCAAGAGGCCCATTGCAAAGTATTCCTATAATACTGAAATTGAAACAAACTTAAGTGTAATAGCAGGGTTTGGTTAAAGGAATTCTTGGATGTTACACAATGAAATACTATACAATTACAACTATAATAAAGAAGAGGAAAGCTAGAAAGTTTGAAAGAGATAAAAAAAATCAAGGAGGGAAGGAAAGGAGAGTGTCAGGGAGAATGGAAGCAAAGAAAGTAAGGAAAGGAGAACGGGAGGAAGGGAGAAAGAAAGGAAGATAATGAAGGAAGGAAGGGATGAAGGAAGGAAAGAATGGAAGAGACAGGAAAGAGGGAGGGAGGGAGGAAGGAGCTAAGAAAAAAAGGAAGGAAATCTATATATATGAACTGAGGCAGAAGCTTTCTAAGAAATATATTACTTGATATGAGAAACAAAAAATTTTGCAAATTATGGGTAATATGTAGAGAAAATGGTGTTGCTCTATATCCATAAATGTTTACAAGAGGATGCAAAAAAGTAATGGGGATTTTAGTTTTCAGTGGGTGATATGAGAAGATAAATGTGACAAGAATTTCACATTTGCCTTATTACCATTCACTTCATTTGCACTTTTAGCTTTAGCATGGATTAATTTGAAAGTAAGCATTTTAAAATCTACATAACATTTAGGAGCATAGACTTAAACATCCTTTAACAAAGATCCTGGACCAGATAGAACTTCTTTGAAATATAACTGATATGACTGGTCAGATGGAAATGTGAGGTGGGAAACATTGCTTCTGAGCAAAAACGTAAAAGATTCAGAGAAGGCAGAGGATACGTTTACCAACACTAATAAAGACTGGTGAACAGTAAAGACTAGTAAACTCTGGGGGCAGTGTGCCTCAAAAATCAAAATTACCTTGGAGAGACCAAAAACTAACAGGGCTTCACTATCCACATCAACATTTCTGAGTGGAACTATTCAGACGAGATCAGGTGCATTCAGGGTGGTATGACCATAGACACTGAGTGGAAATATTCAAAAGTGGTTTCCAAGATAACATAATTTCCAATTGGAACCACTTTACTTTTTGTCCTCAACACTTTGATAAGTGTAAGAGTTAGAACCTTTGTTAGAATTCTGGGTGTCACTGAATGTAGACTAATGGGATGGTTAACCTTGCAGGGGTCTTTTGGTACTGCTCCATTGGAAAGATGGTGCTGATCCCTGGGTTCTACCACCCAGGATGAAACTGGGGAAGTTGCATCTAATTACCTCCTTAGTGGGTTGGTCATTCAGGTGGAGTTGGGCGAGGCCAAGACTGATTTCCTCCCTGTGGTGGTCCTTCATGTTGTGGTGGATGAGGCTCTGACCCATTACCAGCAGGAGGCCTGGGTGGTCGTCCTCCATGAGGTGGTCCATGGGACTTCTGAGCTAGAAGTAGGAACTCACTGTTGTTTCCTCCCTGTGGTGGTCCTTGTGGGTGTGGAGGACCAGGTTGTGACTGATTTCCTCCTTCTGGTGGTCCTTCATGTTGTGGTGGATGAGGCTCTGACCCATTACCAGCAGGAGGTCTGGGTGGTGGTCCTCCATGAGGTGGTCCATGGGACTTCTGAGCTAGAAGCAGGAACTCACTGTTGTTTCCTCCCTGTGGTGGTCCTTGTGGGTGTGGAGGACCAGGTTGTGACTGATTTCCTCCTTCTGGTGGTCCTTCATGTTGTGGTGGATGAGGCTCTGACCCATTACCAGCAGGAGGTCTGGGTGGTCGTCCTCCATGAGGTGGTCCATGGGACTTCTGAGCTAGAAGCAGGAACTCACTGTTGTTTCCTCCCTGTGGTGGTCCTTGTGGGTGTGGAGGACCAGGTTGTGACTGATTTCCTCCTTCTGGTGGTCCTTCAGGCTGTGGTGGATGAAACTCTGATCCATTACCAGCAGGAGGTCTGGGTGGTCGTCCTCCATGAGGTGGTCCATGTGGCTTCTGAGCTAGGACTAGGAACTCACCTGAGTCCTCAACCTCTGTGTGGGGGAGGCATAGAATAAATGAAAATAATGGTGGGAGACTCCTCTCCCTTTTGATTTCTCTAAACTTGTAACACAGTCTGTTCTAAAAACTTCCTCTCATCTGTACACCAACTTCATGTCCCCTGCTTAATTATCAAAAACTCTTCATGATTCATGTATAGGTTGTGTGAAATGGCTCATATCTAGGCTCCTGAGACAATTATTTTTTCTTGAATTTGTCAAAAAAGAAGGTCTTGGATGCCTTACAATTCTCAGAGGATGACTTCAAAGCCAGAAGTCAGCCAACTAAAAGGATCATAAATGTCAGATATGTTGTTAGTTATTTTTTTGGACACAGTAACAACATACTGCCTATGAATCCAAGTCTTGCTACATAAACCCTGTATTAAAACTAGTTGTTTAGGTGTCTGCTCCAGTTGTTCAGGGTTTTAGACTGACTTAGAGAAATACTAAGAGTGAGATGAGAAAGACAAATGATGGTACACATGGGATTCCCTGAAAATCTGTGAGAAATATTTATGTTGTTCACAGCTGAGTGGAGAAAGAGAGAGAAAAGGGATACAGACAAATATTTCTGCTCATTTTACCATAAAGCCATATGACTCTAGAGAGCAGCATTAGGAAGAATGACATAGCTGAACATCTTTCAGTATCACAGGGCAGTCAAACCTGGTACATTTTTTGCATTTGTTTGTCATCTCTCAGCAGACACATCTGCATGGGATCAACCTGTTACTGACATAGAAGCCAGGCCTAATTGTTTTTCAAATTGGTGACCCTCTTTATGGTCCCCAGATCAAGGTTAAGGAAGGCTGATTTGTATTATTGGAAGAACTAGCACTCATTAATTAATAAAAATAAAAATGATGATAATATGACTTTTGTGAACTGAAAATTTTTTGAGGAAAATAGAAGAGAAAGGTTGAGGATGAACTGAGCTTTTTTTACCCGATGACAGGTACAAAGAGTCTTCATAGCTGACCTCTGAAAAAAAGCACAGAATGAAGTGGAAAGTTAATTACCAATCTTTCAGGGCTCACAAGTGCCCTGCAGGTAAGGTGACTCTAATCACAGCCTGTACAACCATAAGTGACCTTTTCAGCCACTTTCTGAAATACAAAGGGAGTAGTAGAGTAGTTTTTATCCTGAATCTCAACCACCTGCTCAAAACACAAACACACACACAACACATGGACATTTGCAGATAACACAGACCCACACACATTCACCTTTTTTTGACCACACTAGAAACTCTCAAAAATTTCTGCTAATACTATTTCTGCTTATTCCAAAAACACCTTTTCATGTAGTTTTACCTTTTCCTTCATTAAATCCTTTGCTTATACTTACACATTTTTTCAAGAAGGGTATATGAGAGAAAAAAAACATATCAATAATGTCCTTGTAGCACATTGAAAATAATGCATGTGTGTGGGAATTAAATATGGAAATCGAACCCTGATTTTTCCATTTCTCTATGTAGAAAGGGTCAAATTTACCCTTTTTATTCTCTGGCTCTCTGATTGTGTTTATCTCCTTTGCCTGTCCTGTACCACTATACACCATGGTTAGCGACATCTACTTCTGCGTTGAGTATAATAATGTCTCACAACGAGGCTTCTTTCCTCCCATACCATTTGCCCATGTATCCTTCTCAGCACACAGAGATTATTCTCCAAATTAAAATGTACCTTGTGGTGCTTCTGGTTGAATTTTTTATGGCATTCCAGTTGAGTGTTAAGGAAAATCTAAGGTTTTGAAGTTTAGTGAGAACATAACCAGTATTATTCTTGTCATCACAAACAGCTACTCAGTCTTCTTTATTTTTCTTTTACATGGGAGTGGGGCTTGAATATTCAGTCTTTCTTCTCATCTTCTTCCCACCATCTTCCCCTCCTGCTCTGCAGTGTGGTCTCATAATCCCCAACCAGAATCCACTCACATCCCCTGTTTTCTCATACCTTCATCTGAGCTCAAAACTGAGCTCAGGACCAGCAAGGACACAGTGAGCAGGACCACAAGCATCTTAAAGAAGGTCTGGAGTTTCTCCCACGTCTGAACTGAGCAAAGCAGAGCAGTTCCCTTTAATATAAGGAGTCATACAATGGCACCTTTCAGCTTCCCCTGGTGACCTTACATGGACACTAGGTTGCCTCGCATCCTTTACTTCTCCTGGGACGTTAGCCCAGAAAGTTGGAATAGGGAGGAGGTTTTCATTGTCTTCTTTCTGAAAGGTACAACATATGACTTGGATAACCTGGTTAAAAAATATTGTACAAGTAATCATTACATTTATTAGAAAGAAATTTCTATCATTATTTGAGCTTCAGTCTTTTTGAGGATACTGTGTCTCTTTCAAATGTGTGTTATTTATGGGGGATAAAGAGGTTGTGTGCTGTTTGAACAATGTCAATAAGTGTGTCAATAGTTATCCTATAGCAAAAAAGGAAGATGGTAGGGCTGAGAATGTGGCTCAAATAGCAGAGCACCTGCCTAGCAAGCATAAGACCCTGACTTAAAACCCCAGTATCACCAAAAAAAAAAAAAAAGTAAGATGGTAGATATCACTGGCCATAATATTGATTACATCAATCATGATGTGTGTGTCACCAGATATATGTAACTAGACTTTTGCTAATATAGACTTTATTTCTGTTCAAATCTCCAATGGGTTGAATACCATACTTGAACACCATACTGGTAAATGAAGATTGTCTGTCATTCTGCTCATCGATTCCACAAAGATTGTCCATGATTCTCTCACTCTAGTTCTAATCAGGGAAGTTTTGGTATTGAACAACACAGTTGACTTTAATGTTCTGTTCTTATTAATAACCATTGAGATTGTTAAAAAAATTGCCAAAGATATCACCATGGGATTTCCTCAACAGAACAACATACTGTGCCCTGATGAACCACAATACTTCTTTTCTCTAAGACATCTTCCGGTCTCCTCCTCTTTATCAGTATTCTATCAGTTTGAGCTTAAACCATATTTTTTCTAGGAATCATTTTGAATCTCACTGATAATTGGTTACAATTATACATTTGAAGAAGATACTCAGATGCCCTCTTCAAAGTCCCAATTGCATAACATACATGTTCTTATTTGTAAACATATTTCACACTTTGTCTCAGATTGATCTTCAAAATAGAATTTTTTCAGCAGTGTTCTGAAACTCATTTGACTTGCTTTTTCCTGAGACCAATTTGTTGATATTTTATGTTCTCATTCTTCTTGTTGTTTATGATATTATACTCTTATTTTCCATGCATTTTTAGAGATCTCTTTTATTTATTCTTCTAAGTCTGAGTATTTTCTATTCTTCATCAATTCACCAGTGTGGGCTTGGCACTAAGCTCCAACTGGTTAATTTTTTTGCCTTGTTTTCAGAGAGAGACTTTAATCAAACACTGTTTGCTAGGATAGGGAGGAGTGGCAACAGCAGTTCCTGGACCTCCTGGCTAATGCTGTTCCAGCAGCTCACGTGGCAGGTATTGCCCTGAGGTATTAAGTTTAAGCCCTGAATTGGGTTTCACATAGGAAGGCCTGGGTGTGGGTTTCATGCAAAAGACCCAAATTTATTTCCTTCTTACTTCTTCAGGAGGATGATTTCTTTCCTTTTTATTCAATCTTTTTTTATTATCATTATACTGGGGCTACATTGTGACATTTGCCAAAGTTCTTACAATATATCATAGTTGAATTCATCCACTCCCTCAATTCTCCTTTATCCCTTCTCTCCCCCTCCCCCCGCCATTCCTGGAAGAGTTTCAACAGTTCTCATTTTTCCATTTTCATACATGAGTACATAATATTTAAACAATATTCACCCTTTTCCTACATCCTTCCCTCTTTCACAGGTGCCAACCCCCAAAAAGAACCTGTTTTATCTTCTTATTCTCAGTTTCTGAAAAAAGACAATTTTGTTTGTATAAAATAGCCATATGGAAAGTTTCTTTGTGACATTTCCGTGTATATGTGAATTATAACCCAAAAAGTGTCTTTCTTGATATTTCTTGGAATTGGGGAAGTGGTGATGTGTTATATTTCTCCCGTACTAGCAAACTTCATGCAGTTTAGCTAATATTTTAAAAACTGAAAAACCAAAAAGTTTCTGAAACTGTATAAACTAAGACTCTGTCCCTGTGTTTCAATGTATACAACTTATATCCACATAACCAGTGACTCCCAGGTTTCATGGACATTTACCAGTCATTATAAGAACTTAGCTTAGTGCTCTCCCATGCCCTGCCTACGGAGTTGAAGTAACATCCTCAAGGTTGGCAGCACTGCTTCTTCTCCCTCTGGGGAAGTAGCTATAGTCTCATATCATGACTGTTTTAACAATATCTGGTGTGTTCTGAACTTTTGATTACTCTTCCCCTGAGTTCTTAGAGAAGTATAATCAACTCATCCCTCATATATCAAGAGAGGCTTTCTGTGAGAAAGTGGTCATCACCAGATATCCAGTATGGTGGTAACTTGATCTTCAACTCCCTGTGCCAAAAATATGTATGAAAAAAATGTTTATTATTAAAAATATACAGGCTAAAGCCTATTGATATTGTAGCATGAGTTGACTAATATAAAAACTGGCCAAGAAGTGGAAAGTACTTGTCACTAATATTCCAAATATGGAAGCAGTTTTGAAATGAAATAGCAGCTGGGAGAATTTGGAAGTGAATGTGGAAAAAAGCCAAACAGCTCTATGTAAGAGCTTGAAAAGTTACTTGAAAGGGTAAATAAGAATGGGAGTAGAAGTATAGGCCATAGAGCCATTCTAATGAGTTCTGAGATAGAAACTATGAACAACTGCAGATTTGTCATACGTCTTTATCATATTAACATTGTATGTTCCTTCTACATCTATTATGGTGAATGTTCTTATAAGGAAGAAATGATGAATCTGATCAAATACTTTTTCTGGATCTGTTGAGATGATCACATTTTTTTGTTCTTCATTCTGTTGATATAATATGTTATATTTACTGATTTGCATATTTTCAACAATCCTTAAAAATCAATATTACTCTATTATGGTGCCTAACCTCTTTTTACCTGTTGTTAGATTTGTTTTGCTGCTGTTTTCTTGAGAATTTTTGAATCTATAGTGTAGCTGGACATTTCTATGTAGTTTTCTTTGTTGAGTGTCTTATTTTGCTGTCAAAATAATGCTGGCCTCAAACAAGTTTGGTAGTTTCTGTTTTTTCCATTACTTTGAAATACTTTGAGAAAAAAACTGGAAGTGGTTCTTCTTTAAATATTTTGCAAAATTCAGCAACAAAGTCACAAAATCCCAGACCGTTCTTTGATTGAGACTTTTAATTTCTGTCTCAATAACATTCTCATTAATAATTTGTTTAAAATTTCAATCTGCCCAGAAGCAGGTGGGGTCAAGGGGGCTTTGAGTAGGTGGACCAAACAATGTATACACATGTGAGTAAATGTAAAAATGAAAAAAGGAAAAAAGAAGGAAAAAGGAGAAGCAGAAGCATAATCAGAGAACAGCTGATTTGAATTAGCATGCATAAAATAAATTGATGTTAATATGACTACCCAGGAAAACAAATTTAAAGATGCATAAAGATGTGCATGCATGACATTCATTGACAGTTTATATTTTCTTTGTATATGAACAAAATGGAGACATTAACATCTATGAGATCTATGAATTAAGAGGAGGCATAGGATGTGAACACAATTAGTCAGGAAAACAACTTTTCTTACCTCACCTGTTAAGGCTCAGGAAATATTTTACCTTAATCATCTGCTAATGTAAGTACTTCTGCTTGTTTAATGACCCTAATTCTTTCTCAACTTCTAAGCAAATAAATAAAAGGAAAACAGTGAAGCACAGTAGCAAGAATGTAGGTCCTGGATCAGACTGCCTCCTAGACCACTGACTATCTCCATAACAGCCTGGGCCTATTTCTCAGTCATCTCATCTGAAGAAAGAGATGTAATAATTATTACATTTGCAATGTAAGAAGTTTCTGAAGATTAGTGAGTAATATTTATCACTATAATGAAACTTGATCTGGGGGGTAGATTAGTAAAATATTGATATGCCAGGAGAGAGACAATTTTGACCATACCAGGGTCCTGCAGTAGAGATTATGCAAGTGGTCATATTTGGAACATATTTTGAAAGTAAATCCAACTGTATTTGTTAATTGGCAGTACTTATGTGAGTAAAAAGTGAAAAGAAATTCCTATATTTTTGAACAAGAAGATGAGACAACTGATATTAACAGAGTAATGATCATGAAGTGTTGTAAGCAGATTTTCCCTCTTCACCTAGCAAATATCTTGAAGCTGTATACAGCACTACCTCAGAATATGACTGAATTTGGAGATTTGGCCTTTAAAGAAGTGATTAGGTTATAAAGAGATTGTTAGGCTTAGACTCAGTAGAAACTGTGACTGGAACTTTAAAGAAGAAGGTAGATGGACACACATGGAGAAGGCAAGGAGACAGATGCTCAGAGCAAACCCCTTGTGAGTACCTAGCAAGGAGGTGACTCAAATCCAGGAGACAGATATCTGAAGATGTGACTTTAATCTTACACTACTATCCTCTAATCCTATATGGAAATAAATTTCTGTTGTTAATTCTACCCAGTCAGTAGATGCTTTGTGAAGACAGCAATCTAAAAAGGAAGAGGACAGGAATTATGATGTAGAAATCAAGAATAGTATTGCTGTCCTGGCAAGTAGGGGATATGTATTTCACAAAAGTCCCATTGTTTGAGGTATTCCATTTATCCTCAGGTACGCAAGCTGCCTGCTGCAGGCTTCCCTATAAACTCTTTTGTAAACTGTTTTGGTTTTGGTTGGTGGTTTCATAGCTAATATTTTTCTTTCTTTATACATTGACCTCTTTCATATATTGTTGACATTGGAGAAGGTTGGGGAAAGGGCTCCAGCTGCATATTTGGTAGAAACAGCTTCTCTGATCCAGAACCTACCAAACCAAGGAAAAAGTGACTTCCACTTGGACTGCAGCTTCCAAAGCCACCCA